TACAGATTATTCCATAATGGCTCACAAGTTGCTTTTATTTGTAAAAGCACCATGAACCTGCTCGTTTGAGGTCAGAATTCTCTTACGAGATTCTGCACTGTTTCTGTAGACAGGTGTTACAGCGGGTGACATGGCCTTCAGTCCCTGTTGCGCCATTGCCCTCAGATTTCAGTCTCTGGGAGTTGTAACGTGGGACTCCCATCGCCTATAGGTCTCTAACACAGCACTGGATGTGCCGTTTCTCCACCACCAGGTCATACTGTCGAAGGCCTGTGAATCAAGTGATGGGAGACAGGCCAGGGGCTGGATTCCAAGAGTGTGAGTGCCTCTGAAGGTGCCCTCTGTAGGTGCCCCAACTGATGGCTCATATCTTCTCTGTGCTGACTCCCTGCTCAGCCACTTCTTCTCTCTGGCCAGGCTCAGCATTTTTAGCACCTTGTGGTCTTGGCTCTGCAGATGTTTTCATTCCAGTCTCTTTTACTCCCTCCAGACTAAGAGCCGAGTGGCGTGATGAGTCACTGTGTCAGCCCCACGTCCACAGCCTGACCAGGCCATAGGACTTGCAGGCTGGTCCTGCACACCAAGTGCCTGGCCAGTTCATGTGGAGGGGCAGCCACACAGACTATTTTGGCCTAACCTCAAGGTGATCTGTAGGAGCCAGCCCAGAGGCTGTCAGTCTCTGGCTCCTAGTCTGTCGGTCTGGGAAGGCAGGGCTGGAAGCTCTTAGCTCACAGCAGGCAGCTGGCCACCCATGTGTCAGGCACTCGGGCAGCCCTCCTCTTTCTTACCCTCTTTTTTCTACCCTCCCTTTCATCTTCCTGGTGGTCCTGATACTGTCCAGTTCCAGGAACTGTTTTGAATGTTGCTTGGGTATTGAGAAAAATAAATACCCTCATTGAAGCATAAAGATGGAAAGGTTTTGTGCTGTCCAATGGCCCAGTGATTAAGGGAGCCAGATCCCACATGGCTGATCATGCAGTTCCAATCCTGGCCCCAGCAGCTTGAAAAACATGTGCATGCATGCTCCAAATCCCACTAGGATGGAGAAATGGAGGAGAAGGGATTGTGGTGTAACCATGCCTCATTGAGGGGTGCTTTCTCCTTCTCCTTCTCTGTTGCTATCTGGCTAGTGCATGTGATTTCTGGCAAATTAAAATAAATAAATAAAAGAAAGGAGGTTTCCATTTTGTTCCTTCTGGGTGTTCCGAAGAATCTGTTGCTGTCTGGCTAGTGCATGTGATTTCTGACAAATTAAAATAAAGAAAGGAGGTTTCCATTTTGTTCCTTCTGGGTGTTCCGAAGAAAGCTTGTATGCCTTCTCCATCTCTCATACACACAGACAAGTGAATGCATCTGTGCATGTTCATCTAGGAGATACGAAGTTCCTGGTCTGTGTGGGCTGTGAAGCATCCCGGATGCTGTAGTTGGCTCCTGAGTAGGCAGAGGACCTGCCTAGCCATCCCTACATAACCTGTGGGTACATTCTGTTCTCCACACCAGTGGGGAGGCCCAGAGCATCTCTGGAGAGGAGGGGCTTAGACCCTCTTGGAAGGACAGACCGTCTTTGAGCCAACGTGACCTCACAATTCTAACAAATTTTTCCAGCATCCCTTTCCCTTCTCAATAGCTGCGTATTCAAGAAATCTAATAAAAGAGATGTTTTTTGTTTTTATTCAAGGCCCATTTTTCCAAACAATCCTTGCTTCCTATGATAAGTATCCCCACTATTCTGACTGTTCTTTTTTTTTTTGGAGAGGTTTTCGCTATAGGGCGCGTGCACTTGCCAGACAGAGAGAGACATAGAGACAGAAAGTGAGAAATCACTCCCCAGAGGGGTTGGTCACGCCGCAATCCCTTCTCCTCCGTTCTCTCAGGATCTTGGGCACGCACGCACATGCGCCCGCTGCGAGTTTTAAGCCATCAGGTCCAGGACACGAACGGCGGTCAGCTACGTGGGAGTCCAGCAACATAGCCAATATACTAACTGCTGGTTCCCCTGACTGTTCTGAGCATGGAGAGAAGAGTCTGTGGGGCCAGCAAGTGGCATGGTGGTTAAGATGCTGGACACTCTCACATGGCCGACCACAGTTTGAGTCCCAGACCTGGTGGCTTCGTTCCTCACTTTCCCTCTCTATCTCTCTCTGTGTGTCTCTTTCTGGTCAAATTAAAATAAATGAATAAATTAAATTAAATAAAAAATAATTTAAAAATAAAAACAAAAAGGGAAATAGTCCGCAAGAGGGAGCAGAAAGCACTTTGGTCCAGAACTGATGACTTCTGCCATGGGAAAGCCCAGAACCCCTGTGTTTGTGTGGGCAGCATCTCCTGCCCAGAGCTGAGCCTGGGAGATGGCTTCAGAGCAAACCCACCCTGCGCAGAGGCCACTTCACATGTGAGCCAGTCCACATGTTTTTGAAACATCACTTAGGTGCCTGGCCCTACAAACTAGGGCTCACACCACAGCCCCTTTCGTCATAGCCTGTGTGTCAGCCAAGGCCACCAGGAACCCCTGAGGTTGGGCAGCTTGGGCTATTCACTTGTGGTAGCGTGGGGAACAGTAAGAGGGTGTTAGGAAAAACCTGTTATTGGATTTGGGGCTTGGGTAGGTGACTTGGAAGAGGGTCACGGGAAGAGGGGATCTGCTCTAGATCCTTATTCTGTTCTGTCAGAAAGTGAGAGTCATTCCATGTTTGGGCATCTCCATGAATCTTATCCATAGAAGGGAATAGAGAAAGGCTAAAGCTGTAATTAGTGAAGAAATAGAGTCATAGCCAGGAGAGAAGGATATTTGATGTTTTATGACCTCTGCTGTCTTGCTTTCCAGTGATCGCAGAGACTTTGGTTTGGTGTTGGTGTCTTTGAGGATGTTCACAACCAATGAGGAGAATGACTTAGGCTATCATTTCCTTTGGCACTGCACAGCATGGCTATCTGCCGGTTCTGGTCCAGGGCTCCTACAATGATCATGGAACCCTCGTATTGGACTGGTCCTTCTTGTGAAGTTGGCCACACCCAGCAATGACCCAGAGGGAGTACATCATGAGATCCTGGCTGGGGCTTCATTTAAGGCATGAGTGTCTTGGCTCTGTACTGCAGCAAGGCCACCCTACCTCAAAGGCCAACTGGCAAGAGCAGACATCAGTACCAAGAACAAGATGCCAGCCTTTCTGCACAAGTAGCCTGGTCCTGGTGAAATTTTGCAGGGACTGTTTGTGGATTCTCCTCTTCTGAAGACCTCTGCCCCTCCTGCTGCCATCTTCTAAGTCCCGCCCTGTCCTCTGCTGCACTGACACTTACTCCCCATTGCAGGTCTCCCTACTTCCTCTGGCTCTGGGGGGACTTGCTTGGTGGGTCAGTCATTTACTTGTCAGGCCTGAGTGAAGCCTAGACTGAGCCCCAGGGTTCAGGTGGAGCTGTGTGTTTTGAGGAAGGCTATGCAGGGGTTTCAGGGAGCTCCTGGCTAGCCAGAGCTAAACAGCTAATCCCCCAGCAGAAGGGGGGGATTGCTTTGCACCAGTGTGCTTATGAAGGAGCTCCTTAGTGTGCATCCCTTAGCAAACACGGTTCCAGGCGTCCCGGCAAGCAAGCAGACACTGCCCAGCTGTGAGTCATCTCTTGTGTCTGTAGATGGGGAAGCTCAGGTTTTCACTTCATAGGCCGGTGGTCTTGGGCAGATTAGCTATTCCCTAGGAGTGCATCTGCAGGGTATTTTATGAGGATTTATAAAGCAAGATGAGCCTGGCGCATGGGGCATTTGGTCAGTGCTGGTCACT